TGTGTTTTAAACCCCCCTGAGGCAGAGTTTGTGCAAAGACACAGCCCCATGTTGAATTGTCAGAGGAGCTGCCCTTGGCACAGACCTACAAGCAGCTGCCTCGTGGTGACCTGCACCCTTCCAAGAGCAGCTGAATCACAGTCAGCCAGCTGGGAAGGCAAGAGGATCAAAGCTGCACCTTGGCGTGCACAGGCACAAGGGCACACGAACAGGGAAGTGAAACAGCAGGTCCCTCTCTGTGGGAGATCCTCAGGTTTCTATTTTCAACCCATCTTAAAGAAGTGCACTTGGAGAGGGGCTTAACCCCAGGGAGTGTCTAATGCTGGTGCCTTGGACTGCATTCCATGCAGGGCTCTCAACCTGAACAGCTTCCTAAGAGGTCTCTGCTGCTGCACAAGGGTTACCAAGAGCCTGCTGCTATGGCAGGGCCTGGCAGGTAAACAGCCTTTGTGCAGCTCAGGGGAGGACTCAGCCCTCAGCACCAGCTTTAACCCCACAGGAGCCCTTCAAAGGGGCAACCAAAGTGAGGGCAGTGGCTGAGCAGCCCTCTGTCCTCCAGCACAACCATTCCTTACAACTCTTCAGTGAGATCTCTGAAATGCTCTGGGGTTTTTTTATTTTTATCATTTGTTCATTGCTGAACTTGGATGTATCTTTAAAAGCCATCTCATAATTCTTCCTTTTGGTTTAGGAAGGACACTTGTCACCTCTGACATGCACCCACCCCATCTCCTCCTCTGCAGGGCAAGCAGAAGCCCCTGGGTTTGCTCTGGGAGATGTCTCCACCCTGCCCTGCAGCTGGAATGGAGTAAATTCCAGAGATTTCAGGCTTCATCCCGCCCATCACCACCGGGAGACAGACACAAGGAAGCAGTTTTGTTCTCCCAGAGCACCGAGGATGGGCAGGAGGCCCCCCTACCTGCCGTGTCCCGGTGCCAGACCTTCACTGTGCTGTCGCTGGAGGATGTGGCGACGCTGGGGGCGAGGGCTGGGCCCCGGGGGAGGAAAACACACGAGGTGGTGGTCTGGAAATGCCCCCTGTACTCACACACCCGGCCCCGGGTCTGCCGCAGGTCCCACAGCTGCGAGGGAACAGGAGAGCTTAGAGCCGGGTCTGACACTGTCAGGGGCCAGCAGGGAGCCGACTGACACGGGAGGGAAGAGGGGTTGGGTAAATTGCTCCTTGCCAATCCTCAAAGCCCACTGCCTTTGTCCCTGCTCCTGCTCACAGTCCTGGGGAATGTCAAATCCCAAAGGATTTTCACCATCGATGACTATTTGAGCCCACAGAGCCAAGGCTGTGCAGGCAGGTAACAAGGCTCCACCCTGCTCCCATCCTCAGCCCTGCCCTCCCTGG